GGACCTCACTGACTTCCTTCAGCTCCCCTCGGCTCCTCACGTGCACAATCACACGTCCAGGAGCTCGGAGGCCCGGTGTGCACGCTGGCATGGCCTTGCAGAACCTCCGCTGCTGCACTGCCATTGGACGGATTTCATCCCGCTGAGGAAAAAGTTATCTAATGCATACTGTTGAACGTGGTGAGATCTAGGCTAACGTCAGACAGGACAGCACAACCCAATTAGTCCAAATTAGAGATGTGAATTATCCTCTCTGAATCATTTACAAATATATGACATTTCTTTGAGATTTGGTTTAGTGTTATTAAATAAATCTGGACCGGGTGCAGCCTATTTACACTTTTCTCTGTGGGTTGTGTTCCTGGCGGCTCGCCCAGCCTCAGTTCTTAATTTACACTGGAAATGTGCATCTGTATTTTCATTTCCCTGATGGGATGTGTGCATCTGTGGTGCAGGCCCCTGTTGGGCGCCACAGATGGTGGAGGGTTTGATGAGGTTAGTCCCTTTTTTTGTACATCAGTGGGTGTATTGACCTGGCCTGGATGCTGCATAGCCTGTAGCGGTGTGAGGTGTAGCACAGTAACCTTTTGTTTAAGGACCCAAAATGGCTTAATTTCCAAAATAGCTGAAAATTGTTTTGCAATAAAATGTCCATCAATAGTTATTAATAATTTTAAATGACCTATTTTCCATGATGAACCACAGAAAAGGTTTATCTTGAATTAAACCACTGTAGTTTTAATATAACCACTTATCCATTATCACGGTACACAGGTAGCAATTTTAATATTAACACAAGAATGAAAACCCACTCAATTAAATAAATATACACAGAGAAATAAAGAAGAACCAAGGATAAGCAAGCGAGTAAAACCAGCTTGTCCAATTTTCTCGGTTGGTCGCACCGCCACATGTTTTGGCTGTGATTGAATTTAGTAGTTTTCTTCTTCACTGGCTCAGTTGCAGCATTTACCCTCATCCTCAGGTGTGTCTCGACTCGGGAGCTCTTCCTCTCCACCAGCCTCTTCATCCTCACTTTCCTCATTTAGTTTTTAAAAAAATAATCAGCCATAGACCGCTTGATCTTTGCAACACAGTAACAGCTAAATAGATTATTTCACACGTCTGGCAGGAAGAGAAGGAAATGTTCTACTTTAAACCACAATGGCTACCACAGTAGCTACCAGTGTTAGCTGGTGGGGCTCCAGTACAGCCCAATGATTGTCATGCACCCACTTTAATGTGACTATTGGAAATTTTAAATGTTGGAGCGTATTCATTTTATCCCCATCTGTCGCCTTGCTTTGAAACTGGCCTAACATCAATAAGGTGCAATGAAGAAACATTAAAGAAACGCTTGATCTTAGTAAAATAAATGCTGAAAAATATTTTGTAAGCAATGGCTTCCCAGAGGTGCATGGAGGGTGACCACGGGGAAGCCGCTTCACCCAGGTGAGGTTTTGAGGGCTGGGCTTCAACAGATATCATAGGATAGAAATCCTGCACCAACCTTTGCTTGCACCCCAACGTCCTGTCCTTATGTTCTTGGAATAGGCCGCCGGGAGTGTATAGCCTGGGCAGAGGCAGTGGGGGTCGCAAAGCTCATCTCACAAGGGCGACCACCAGTCCCCCCACGAGCTGCAGCCTCCATCAGAGTGCAGGCAGGATTGACAAGAGGCCCAGATGCTCGTGGACTAGCGCACCTCGGAAGACCTGCACAGAAGCCACCAGAGGGTTTGAGGGGGCTCAGTATTCATGGATACAGTTGGCTGTTTATAAACCAGTGAGGAACACTTCGGAAGAGTTACATCATCTATTATTTTCTGTTAATATTTTAACGGAATATAAATATATGAATCAACACGGCAAAAGATGAAGAACAGGCATGTCAGAAAACACACTGTGTATTAGTTGTAATACCTGCTTGTGTTTGCAGTTTAGAGGTGGTCATTCGGTGTACTGGCAGGTCCTTGTTGACAAACAGAGAGCATTGTGGGAGTTTAGCCAGTAAAGTGCCACCATGAGAACGTCTCCTATGACGCTTTAATGCCCACCGGCCAGAGCAGTGAGCTGATGTGTGCTTTTATAGCATCACTTAGGGCAAGTGGCTGATTGTCTGCAGTTGTAAAGCAGCTCTGTGTTCACTGCAGTCTCATTAACACACAGTGACGTCCGCTGAGTTCATTTTAGGTTATTGATGAATTATCTGTCAAGAAAATCGTTGAAAATTTGCATTCCTAGCTGCCACATATCACTATAATTTTATTTCCTGGGCTTAAATGTTAGCGTGCTGTCTAATTTTCTCGTGGGTGCGCCGTCTCTATCGAGCATCTTTTATTGAATATCCATGCCAGGGTGAAATTAGCTCCTATTAGCGGCTGTATAATTGCGTGTCCTTCCTGAATCACCCCGTATTTTCATAATGACAGCCTTCATCTGTGTTTGTCATGCCAGGGGGAGGACTGCAGCCCACCCAGTTGGTAGTTTTTCGTAACCCCTGTTGATGTTGTTTCTGATCTGTGCTCCCCACATCAAAAGCAGACATCCCCCGCTGTACTCGCCACGTTGTTCCTGCAGCCTCTCCAGTCAGCCTCTGTCACACACAGCTGTTTCCCTCTTCTATCCCTGCCTGCCCACCACTGTTCTGTTTTATCTCTTTGCTTCTCATGTCACTCTCTCCTCATCTCTCTGTCACATCTTTCTGTCTCTCACCCCGTCCTACCTTTGACTGGCTTCATATCTGGCTCCTACTTTTACCTTTGCTGATTTTTATTTTTTCCTGCCTCTCTCTTATCTGTGCCCTTTCATATCTTTCTTTCTTGCCGTCTCTTTCTAACTCTCACTTTGTGTTTGTTCTCTTTCTCTCTTTTGTTTTCCTCTTTGTCATCTCACCGATCAACATCCAGTTTGTCTTTGTTTATCCCTGGGAGGAAAATTGGTGGTTTGTGCATGAAATGTAGGACCTCAGTCTGCAGGGTGCTGAGACGCAGAGATACATTCATGCAGGTTACAAACATAACACTTGTGGTGAAAATAACAATCATCGCTGTGATTTTTACAGACAAAAATTACAGACATGCAAACAGGACCATGTGTGGTTGTTTTGTATTTTAATTTGCAGCAGATTTCCTGTGTATCTGTAGCCCAATGGGCTGAAAAGACCTGCTAATCAAACTGAAATCACACCTCGGAGTATTCCCATAATGGCTTAATAGCGGCTGAGCTCGAGACTATACATAGTCTGTCACGTTCTCAAGTGCGCTTCTCTTCTCTCGGTTTTGCCTGACACATTTGAGGCTGACGTAAGGGGAGCCTATATTTGGGTGGTGTCATCAACAATATTACAGTTTCCTGTCAGGACGCCCTCCCCTCGCTGAGCTGGATATCTTGCGTGACGATACACGTGCAGGTGTGTCACGTGAGTCGGGCCTGACTCTTTTTTTTTTTTTGTGCGTTTGAAGAAGAGAAGTACAGTGTGGATCCAGACCGTTTCAGGCCAAGTGCAAGATAAAAGTAGGCTTAATGGAAAATTCCACCCTCGGATACGCTTTAGCTGTCAGAAATACCCGACCCGTGTTGGCCAGTCCCACCCAGGGGTTATTCTGCGATGATGTGGTGCACCTACATTTCCTTAGCCTGCCGCATCTACCAACGTTCCACTACTTGTACTGTACGTATTGCAGCTCCAGTGCAGTCTGGCTTAGCGAGGCTGCTTTTAGAGAATCTGGTGTCTCTGTTGGGGCTCGACGTAGCAGCATTTTTATCAGGGCGGCTGCTGATTATTAATATTCAAGGAGGAACTGGTATATTTTTTCAGTAGTGACATAATAGTACAACCACACAAACTTCACTCAAAAGAGAATATTTTAACATTTATCTTTTTAAGTGTTAATAGGCTCCAGGCTCGTAGCCAATCAAGTAGTGCGCCGTACAGGTAAGGACAGCCAAAGTAGCATGCTTTTAAATGCATTTATTTTATTTTAAGCTGTTTCTAATAAGCTCCAATACCGATAATCTGAAAAATGCTGAATATCGGATCCAGTAATGGAACCCTAATATCTACGCTTTCACTGCTGCTGTGGGGTTTTCGGTAGCTGTGTTTTTTCATGTCATGGTGTGCATTTTACACTAAACAAAAACACTGTGCCATCAGAAGGTGCTGCTATAGGCTACGTTACTCATGACTGTAGTAAATAGAGGAGAAGAAGCAAAAGAAACAAAACCAGTAGTTTCCCAAGACAAAAACACTAGTCACCATGATGATCATTGACAAAAAATAAATAAAAGTATAGAAGTCTTAAAGAATTGTTTGAAGTCAAGCAAGTTGTAATCATTCTTTTGTGGTGTTGGACATGTTTCCTGTTGTTCGGACTTTCTACAAGTAAAAACAGCTGATCAGTGGAGAGAAAAGGTGTTTCCATCTCTCGTGAAGCTGATTAACGCTTATGAGAAAGTGAAAAACCGCCTCAAGTGAGTGTTGAGTGTTTTTGTGAAACTGAAGAAACTTTTACCATTTTTATTTTTTACCAATTATATTTTAGCAATTGTGACTGCTTAACCAAATTATTGTGATTAAAAGACAAGAATAGTTTGAATTTGTGGTTGATTTGTTTCTATTTGTCTTCATTTACTGGGCTGAGACTTTTAGAATCACACTGCTTGATGTAAAAGCACACACCTTTCATTATTATTGTTATTATTGTTATTATTAAGCAGTTGAAAGCACAAGAGAAGACGTGAAATCTGTGCCTTTGTTGAATTGTAAGATGTGTTTAACACATAATAACCCCTAAATCCTGCCTACTGGCTCTTGTTTGTTGGTCAGTAGTTTCACATGTAGCTGTTCTACTTCTCAGGAGAGGATATTTTTGGCTGAGCCCCTGGAGGCCCGAGTACAGTAGCTCCGCTCTCGGAGCAGATGCACCTGGTTGTCACAGATTTTTTAACTGATCTTCTCTTTGTCTGTTTCTGTCTCTTTCCCGCCTTGATTCGTGCCTCAGGTCTGTGAGCAGCCATGACGAAGTCCTACGAGTTCAACTGGCAGAAGCACCTGCCTGAGTTCATGCAGGAAGGCGCCTCCTTCGACAGGTTTGATGAGGTAAATATGACGCATTTCTGCCAGGCATCCAATCAGAGCTGCGGCAAACCGAAGAAAATCTTTCTCGACTGAAGTCATGCCTACTTTTAACTTTCACATTTACTGGCTACACTTTACCTGCTGGCCTTATTAGCCTAAATAAATTATGAAAAAGCAGAAAAGAATAGTATTTAAAGCATGTTTAATAATTTAAACCTGGTTATTTTATACTGAGATAGTAAGAACAGACTGAGCAGAACAATGGGCACCTGCTTATATTTCCACTGGTGATATGTTTGAACTATAATGCAGTTTGTAGATGATCTGTTGCTGTTTTTACGTGATCTGCCGTGTTGGTTGTTGAGCTGTGACACACAAGCTGCTGTTTGCAAAGTTTATACTCGACTTTCTGACGTTAAGTTTGAAGCCACGTCTGAGTAAACATTCGGTAAACGTTAAAAAAGTTAGACCCAGCAGCCTCCATTAGGTTGGGCGAGGCCAAAGTTGTGAAAACACAGGGGTGTTCACAGGTAGTCGGTTCCTCCTGCTGCCAAAAATAGTAGAATAATCCTGCAAGGCTATTTGTGCATCCAATGAGAATTTGCTCAGATGAGCGCATATCGATAGCGCTCATAAATAAGCAACTATTACAAGGTTTTTTCCTGCACAGAGGAATTTTTGGAAAATCCCAGAAAGAGGTTTTATCTGGTGCCAAAGTGGTAAGAATTAAGAATAAAAAATAAAATCTAATCTAAAATATTAGGACATTTATTGAAAGTTCCTCCTGCTGCCCAAAATGATAAATTAAACCTGAAAGAATATTGATGAAGCGCTTTTCTAGTCATGAAAGTAACACTGGAGATTTTCTGACCACTGAGAATTTAGTCACATGGGAACATGTCCAACAGGTGACTTGGACATTTCCACCCTACAGTCCATAAATATAAAGTTTAACGTCCCCCATGAAGTGGTGAAGGTTTAGCCTTCAATACAAGCTCTCTGAGTTCGTCAGTTACCCTGCTGACAGATTATTTGCTCCGCCTTGTTATCATCCTTCACCCCAGTGACTGTCCCTGACTCAGTCATTGGCTGCACACACACACACACACACAAACAGAGCTGTGTCTTCGTCACTGAGTCTTAAACCAAGTGTTGACCTTAAAATTAGATGATTTACACCACGGCGACATTTTTCTTTAGTCCCCAGTGTGACTTTGTCCACAGATTTATGTCCCCACAGCGTGAGTAATACGAACACACACACACTCATGGAGCAGAGGCGTCTCCTTTATAACCTGATGCGTCACTGTTGTGGTCAGACTTCTCGCTGTAGGCAGGAATCATTGATCAGGCTCATTAAGGGGCTTCGGCATGGCGACTGCTTGTCTGCAGCACCGTCCACTGAGGGTCCTAACCAGCACACTGAACAGATTATATGTATGTACGGCTGCTCAGCGTATAAATCCTGACATTTCCACAGAGACTCTGAATTGCTGACAATGCCGCTGTTGTCAGAATGTTTAAATGGCAATATTGCAAAGATGAGATTGCATACTGCATACATCAGGGGATGAACTATAAACATGAAGGAACATCAGCAGCGTGAACTGATGAAAAACTACTGAGGTAGAAAATATCGATACAATAGAGCAGAGCAATTTAACATTTTTGGGGGAGTAATAATTTTTAGGGAGTAAAAAAATATCGATATATAAGCTTGTATTCTTTATACATGTATATATACTTTACACACGGCATGTTAGCAGAATTATACTGAAAGGGAAAATGATCTGGCCATTGTCTAACATTCCAGCAACGCATTTGACAAATGAGTTACCAACTAACTGCAAAGACACCGCTTGACTCCGCACCACCGTCAGCTCAGCTGTGCTACATGTGCTGCTGAGAGTATTGTAAACAAGGAAGTTAAAGCCACTTTCCTTTAGGAACGATGTGATGACACCATTTCAAAATTACTCCCAAGCATATTTTCAACGTTGTGTTCTGTACATTAAAAGTTTATATTAATTTCAGACAAAATACACTGTAAAAACTTTTTGAAAAAATAATTTTGACTGTAATGTTGTGAAAATTATTTGTTTTTCAGATTTTCCCTGTTTTGTTAAATTACAGTTAATAACTGGCATAAACACAAAAAAGCATTAATTCACATTTTTAAATGTTAATCAAATAAAATAAGACCAACACTGTAAAAAAATTTCCACATCAAAAATCTGTATTTTAAAAAAGATCTGATTTGATTTTTTGTGATGATTGACGGTAAATTACACAATTTTTGACAGTTTTTTAAATTAGCAAAATTAACAGGTTGTTTTTTGCAGATATTTGGTGTTATTTGAAGGATATTAAGGACATAAATATTTTAAACTATTATTTATCAGAGTTTCACCCTTTAAACTACAGATAATATCTCGTAAAATAAAAAGTATTAATTTACATGCTCACTGTAAAAAGCAATACAAAACAGACCAAAACTGTAAATAATGTACAAATCAAAATTTCTTACCAAGTTTTATTTTTACAGTGAATTTGCAGATACTGATATATCTGTGACATAACAATATCAGCTGATATATCGATCGCACTCGAAGATAAATCACAAAAAAATTGAACAAAATCAGATAAAAAAAAAAAATCAATCAATCAATTATTCTTTAGTCAGAAGCAGGTTTATCACCCCTATCATTCATTACCTGTATAAATACAAACATTTACCAATATCATCATTAGCTTTACTAAATATCCCTCTAACTCTGTATATATGACTGTGTATCTGTATATATGACCCGTGTATATCTTCTGTCTTTTTGCCCACGTTTCCTCTGACAAACTTAATCAGGACACTTAGCTAGGACATTTGTCGAGCAAAGCCAAAGTGTGTCACAGACCCGCACGCACATTCGCACGGAGACATGAACGTCGGCCTGAACGTCAGGAAATCCCCTCAGTCCTCTTCGCTTATGTGTCCATCGGTGGGGGGGAGGAGGATCTCTCTTCGGCGGAGGAGACAACTTGAAAGCGCGTACGGAAAAGCGTCATCAAATCCGCTGCCATGTCAAAGTGAGCAGTGAAAGTGGGCCAGCAGGCTTCTGAAGAAAGTCCTCAGTGTGCTGCTGCTGTGAGTTTGAGCCAAGCTGAGGCAGGACAAGGTTACGACTGGCCTGGATGGGAATAAGGTCGGCTGCTGTCAGTCACCTCAAAGGGTAAAATTAATGATGTCGCTTGGGAGACAGCGCTGCCCTCATACCACTGCATTTAGTCATTATTGAATAATTATGTTACTAAAGATATGAGCTGAAATACTTTGTTTTATCTGATGCAGGTTTTATTTTCTGCTTCGCACTCAGACTACAAACAAACAGTAAAGCTAATGAGCCTGTATTGCCTTATTTAACAAGAAATGGTGCAGTTCCCTCTTATTTATGACCGTTTGATAAACGAAAATGTCCATTATGCTCGAGTAAATGAAACCCCAGTTAAAAGAAAAAAAAAAGAAAAATCTGTATTTTTATCTTTATTCTTGATTCTTACAATTTTGGCACTAGATAAAACATCTTTTGGGAGTTTCCAAAAATCCTTCCGTGCAGGGAAAACCCCTCGAAGAGCTGCTTGTTTACTACCGTAGTGTCCAAGTCGACTGGTTTTCAATATGCTGTCATCTGACCAAATTCTTATCGGATGCACAATCTCTAAGGCTGTTGAAAAGCTGTATTTCAACAACCGTGCAGCATTGTTCCATTAATTTTGAGAACCAGACTGAATGTGAACACTACCACATTTCCAAGTTTTGAACTGGCCCGGCCTGATGGAGACTGCTAAATATACCTTATTTACCTTTTACTGAAAGTTTAATCAGAGTCGGCTCCAAAATAACTGACACCGTGTCAAAGAAATCACCGGTGTGGCTGCGTCTTGTGGCCAAAAAGTTGACTTTGACAGCTCAACAACCAACACTGCAGGTAACCTAGAAACAGCAGCTAATCCCTCTGTAGTTCTTGTGCTCCGATCATCACTTGATATATTTTCAGAAATCACATGCGTATGTGCACGCTGGTCTGCTCCCTGTCTGTTCTTATGATTCTAGTATAAAACAACCAGGTTAGTGTGATTTAATATGCTGTGTTTTTTAAGTTTTGTAGCAAGATCAGATAAGCTTTTGTGTTAGAACAGCAAAAGTAGATCAGTAGGAAATAGAAACGAACACCTAATATACATAGACACTGTTGATATTGTACAGGTTGTTGTATATGTGGAGAACAGCGGTTTTCATGCATCTATATACTGAAAAATAACGGTATTGCACAGAAATAGTGGCATTGCATAGAGTCTTGTAGCATTCTTTATATGCAGAGAGTTTGATATGAGTTTTAAAATGTACAAAATATTCCCAATGCACAGGTTTAAATCTTTTTCATTTAGGCTAATAATGATTTTAGCCGACCAACATTTTCTTTAGTTCACTGCAGCTCGAATCCTGTCTGGTGCTCTACTTTATTCAAACCAGTAAATCTCAGCAGGTCAAATCCCTCTTTCATAACCAAATTTTTATTTTGATTGTCAACCTCTAACCTCGTTTTAGTCGTGCTTGTTGTAAGTGAGGTCTTCCTATTACAGATAACTACCGTCTTAAACAGTTTGTTTCAGTGTTTGTCGGAGTAAATCGCTGTTTCCTGGTGAACACAAAGGCTGCAGGGCAAACTGGCGTCGAGCGAAATGACATAGACGTGCTCCAGAGCAGGCGCAGGCAAATATGCTAAACAGCATGGATTTCTTTTTTTTCCTCTAAACATTCTCCACTCACTGAAACCCCGTCGAGTGACAGATGGTAGAGGCAGGTAATGTGCATGTATGTGTGTGTTTTATCTACATAGTGTTCGGTGCAGCTCAAAGCTTCTCTGGTTATTGCTGCCCTGGTTGTCCGGATTTAAAATACGACAAGTTTGTAAAAGCAACGTCACGATGCTTTTGCGATAATCTCGTTCCTCATTTTCGAACAGAAGCAGAAGTTGTTTTCCTTTCTGTTTTGCTCTGCGCAGTGCAACACAGGAGCTTTTAAATGTCGTATAGATTTGCAATAGCTGAAGCGTTCTTGTCCTGGAGTGACATAATTCAGAGGAGCCTCCCGTCCTGGATGTCAGGGGTTAAAGAGATGCCGTGCAATCAGTCACGCTAACAGCCAAAGGGCTTCCTCTGTGTATGTGTGTGTTTCATTCATTCATTATCTCGCTGATTGGAAATCGATCACTTAAGATGTGGCTGATGTTTGGTTGCCATGGCGACTAAGCAGCTTCATATTGACAGCTGAGAATAACCGACGAACAGAAATGCAAGATGCTGAAAACACAAAAGTGTTGATTTCTGCTTCCTGCTTGCAGTTGAATCTGATTTTTTAACAGTATGTATAACACTGGTGGATATTACTGTAACTGCTACACATACTGACTCAGTTATCAGTTCATAATCGTGGTTTGGGGATTTAGACAGAAGGTAAAACACCCCAGGATTACCTGCTCCATCTGTAAAATGATATGTAATACTTACCTGGTAAATAAAGATGCACCTACTGAAACTTTGTGTTACTCCTCTGCTTCGTAAGCCTTGACATATCGGCCTTTTGATAATTCTGTTTCCAGTCCAAGCGTCTGCTGTGTTGGCTCTGGCTTTCTGTCAACATGCCGCAGTGCTGTTTCCCTTGTTGTTTGAAGAGATCAGGATCCAAAAACACTGTTCACTTGTCATTCTGCGGCACTGCAGCCTTTTATTAGCACGATTCATTTATAGAACAGCTTTAAGTTAGGTTTTTAAAAACACAGGCTGTACCAAACAGCCTCCAGGTTCAAGGTTATGATAAAACAGACAACAATAACAGATTAATCACTGTCTAATCGACTAAGATTTCAGTTTGGACTTTATGTTTAGCAACAACAACATTAGCATCAACTAATTAATAACCATGTATTGTGGATAGAGTTGTCTTAGACATTAGTTTGTTTGTTTTTTCTGGCAATTTGGTCCAGTTTTGGATCTTTGTTGCTGCTGATTGAACCCTCAGTGAGGAACCAAACCCCTGATTGAGGTTTGGTTCCTCACTGACTGACTGATACCAAACATGCAAAACGTACTGTTGAATCTTCTGGATTCAATATGTGAACAACACAAGCCACTTTTCTATAATTTTGTAACATAAAATACAGCTTAATCCTCACCCTCATCCCTATAGCACATTAGTTGGAATCCCTTCTTATTTTCTCTCATAGCTTGCCAAAGTTTAGCTTCTTCTTCGTCTTCTTCATCTTCATCTTCTTTGTCCTTTTGTCATCTTTTTCTTTGTCTTCTTCATCTTAATTTTCTCCTTTTCCTCTTCTTTGTCTTCTTTGTCATCTTATTCGTCTTCTTTGTCGTGGTCATCATCTTCTTTATCTTCATCTTTATCTTCTGTGTCATCTTCTTCTTTGTCTTCTTCTGCTTCATCTTCATCTTCTTCATCTTCATCATCTTCATCTTCTTCATCTTCATCATCTTCATCTTCTCCGTCTTTATTTTCTTTCTCATCTTCTTCTTTGTTGTCTTCATCTTCTTCTCTGTTATCTTCTTCGTCTTCTTCATCATGGTCGTCCTCTTCGTCGCGGTCGTAGTCGTCGTCTTCTTCTTCGTCTTCATCTTCATCTTCATCTTCTCCCTTCACATCTTCTTCTTCTTCTTCATGGTTGGAACCAACCAACCCTCTACTCTATTTATTACAGCCTAGTCCAAAGCCTAAACTCTCTGATTCCAGCTTCTTAAGTTGCTAGATTTTCTGGTTTCTTTCCTTCTCTGTAACAGTGAACTGGATATCTTTTGGTGGGGACAAAACAAGACAGTTTCCATCTTTGGCTTTCAGAAACGCCGTGTTTGAATGACCATGATTCAGTGCTGAAAAGCAATAAAAGGAGAAAACGTCTAAGAGGGGTGAACACTTTTTATAGGCACTGTAAGATCGGGTCAACAGATAACACACAAAGTGAGCTGCACTTAGGAAAGAATGCACCAATATTCAGTCGTAGCTGGATTGCCATAAGCAGGATCCCCATGTACACATGTACAGATGGATCCTCAGCTAGTTGTTCCTTTGCTTTTAGCTTTACAAGTGTTGTGATAGTGTAACAGTAGCCTGTTATATATTCCAAACAGTGGGGGGCTTGTCTCCCTTATAGAGCTGTATAACTGAAGCCTCTGTCAGTCCTAATTCAGATGAAAGAGTCTCAAGCTTTTAGCTGCACTTACAGCAGTCTCACTGTTTCCTAAATGGAGTCGGGATTGTTCTCTTGGTTTTAATGATGGTTTTAGATGCTGGCACGAGGCCAAACAACAAACCAGCTTAGTCCGATTTGCAGCCGTATCATAGCAGCAACATCCCTAAAATAATAAATTATGTGTGTGCGAGTGTGTCACACTGTTCCCTACTGCTAATATTAGAGTGACCCAGCAGCCGTCTCCTATTCTATTTTCCTCTCTTGTGTTTTTAACCTTCTCAGATTTGAGTAGGATTAAAAAAATAACACACTTTGACACAGTCATGCGTCGGTGCAATCACAGTTTTCCGGCTGATTGAATTGAGTGAAAAATGTTTGGGTAAGATAAGCCGGCTAATGTTAGCGGATTTTCTGCCTCAACACTCAACACACTGGACTGAATAGGGGTTCTGCATGTTGCACAGCACCTCGTAGGTGCAGGGATACAGTATTTGTTAGCGGTAGCATCGCAGTAGCCGTGACCCGGCGTTGTCTCCAGCCCCGTGCTCCAACCACATGATGTTTGAGTTTACCAGCTAATGGCAGTCACATTTATCTCACCCTGTGTGTACTTTAGCAATAGGTTTCATCTCCTCTGCACGCAACCTGAGTGTACATACGGAACGCATTCATGTATGTGTGTGTCCTGAGGCAGGCAGGTAGATCTTTTAAAATGAATTACAGCTACATCTGGTTGTCTGATTGCATAATCCTGGTGTGTGTGTGTGTGTGTGATGAGCAGGTTGACTGTTTAATGTCGGGCCACGTCAAATAAAACCCTGTGATTGATGAAGCCTCCTCTCTAACAAAAAAATATTCTTTCCTACCCGCAGGACCCATATATCTTTGAGCCCAACTGTCAGATGAAGGTGGACGAGTACGGCTTTTTCATCACCTGGAAGAGCGAGGGAAAGGTACAGTTCTCACCCATACACCTCTTGGTATTCTGTTGTCTGCCAGGGGAGAGAATTGTGTTCTTATTTAGCAGTCAGGAGAAGAGAAGCTTCATCATGCAGCGATTTCAGAAATACTCTCCCGACACAAACCTCACATGGTTCCTGGAAAAGTGCACCAACTCATCTGATGTGGCATTCATCCTGTGATTGCTGACATTTTCCAAAATATACATCTGATCATTAGATTTCTTCTTCATTTAATGCAGCCTTTGTTTTTAGTTAATGATTCATAATGTAAAAATCAACCTACAGAGAAGATAAGCTTAGTATACAGTCAACATTTAAACATTTACAGCAGTCTGCTTTGGTTTTCTGTTGAAGTTATGTCGCTTTTACTGTTTAAAAAGAAATCATCTTAATCCATGATGTTTGATTCTAGTTTCTGAAATAGCTGGTAAACAAACTTGTAGAATTAAAAACAAACTATCTATAACAACAATCAATTAGTTGTCCACTTTTTTGACAATTGTTTAATCAGTTTGAGTCATTTTTTAGGAATAAAAAGTAAAAATTCTCTGATTCTAGCTCTTTAAATTGGAGTATTTTCAAGTTTCTTACTCCGCTGTAACAGTAATGCTGTAACAATTGCTTTTACTGTCAATCTTTCTATTGATTTATCAATTAAGTGATTAGTTGGTTAGTCTACAAAATGCAAGAAAATTGTAAAAAGTGCCAAACAGTTTTTTTTCAAAGTCACCATGACAGAACTTCCGGCCAGTTTTGCCGTGTAGAAGATAAGTCCAAGTTAGCGTGACAGCCTACTAATTCTAGTGGCAATGAAGGTAGGCTGAACTTTGCAACAAACCCAAAGTATTCGTAGTAAAAATGGCACATAGAACAAAAGTTATTGTAGGTTATTCACTTATTGAATGATAGGGTGCCTTACTATTGGCTAAGAAAATATTTGAAACTGCCTTCCTAACTTTATCATAATTACTAAAAATCTTGCTCCCAGGCCTGCCCAGGCATGGGCTGTGCAGGTAGGACGAGAGCATCTGGACAGCTTTGGTTAATTTGCTTCCTAAGTTCAGCTTAGGAAGCTTTGCTACGTTAAAAACCAGCCTTAAGCTTTGGCTACAATCTGCACAAAATTGTCAGTGCACATAATTGTCTTGTATTTGTCGTATTTACTGATTCTATTTATTATCTCACGCTGATGGATTTTTATTTTTAGGTTGTGTTGTTTTATATATTGTACTTATTGTTCTGTGGTTGGTTTTTCAGGGACAACAGATGTAAATTAGCTGCGAGCTAACCCTAGTTTCAATTGTGTGCTGTCCTTGCACAACTAAACAACACAATGCAATAAAATGAAAACTCCAACTGTTAGTTGATTGTCAAAATAGTTGATGCTTCATTTAGTAGTTGCCAAGTACCTGAGTAATCGTTGCAGCTCTGCTCTGAATGTATGAAAGCAGAAAAACTGAGCTGTGAGGAGGCGGTGGAGGCTGCTGTCAGATGGTCAGAGGTTGTGGCGCTGCTGCTGTGCTGATTATTAGAAACGATCACAAACAAAATGCACCGTGACCCATCTGTCTGTGTTGTTTTCTCTCCCTCTTCACTTTCTATCATATTCTTACCACCTCCTCTGTTTACGTCTCTCGCAGGAAGGCCAGGTTCTCGAGTGTTCCCTCATAAACAGCATCCGTGTTGGTGCCGTCCCAAAGGTGAGACCTCAGCAAAGACAATTTCCTCACTTCTGCTTTCACTATATTCACAGTTCGCCCCGACTCAGCCCTCGGTCTTCTGCTCCTGCGGTGACTCTCCTGGTGAAGCCTCGGGAAGCTGCCACGTCACGCACATTATTCATGCTTAAATTAGCTGAGCCTACAGAGGTGTATTCTGTGCATATAATGACTGATCAGGGACTCCCGGCTGACTTCTCGCTGCCGAGCTTCTCTCTCAAATACCACATTCACGAGGGGCACCAGCAGAATCTCGACATGAAATATTGAACTCATCAATATTTATACAGCCCTGGCTCGGTTTAGCCGCTGGTTGAATCTCAAACTGTATTTTTGCAGCCACGGCTGGTGCTTTTGACCCGGAGAAGAATATTGGAGAACTGTGCTTTCAGGCTGTCAGAGAAGCACTGGGTTAAAGGAGTTCACGCTGCCAGATCAAAAACACAGAGGTGTGAGACGTTCTTATCCTGAAATAGGAAAGTTATCCTGAAATAGGGAAGACTGAGTGCGTCATTCATACCATATTATGCAGATTTACATGTTAAAAATTTTATTTGGGATCTACTAAAGTATATTTTTATGCTTTAATGTTCAAACGATTTATTATTATTCACATACTTTACGTTGTTTAACCCCTTTTCTCACTTTCTATCTGAAACACTCAGTTTTAGCTCATGTCTCATGCATGCAGATGTGTCGACACAGATAAGTTACAGAGGAATAGTTTAGATTTCAAACTATGGCTCGATCAATAAAGCTTTTTCAGCACCGATTCCGATTATAAGTAATCAAGTGGACAGATAATCTGTAACGGATAAGATAGCTGCATTATGCCAAAGGAAATGTGTGCACCAAATATTGCTCAGATAAAACAAGATACAAGTATGACGCATTACTAAAAATAAAAATATGTAAGATAAAACTAAGTAGAATAGAAAAGTAAAGAGTAATATTGGCAATAAGTAGTGAAGCGATATTGTACATTACATTGGAATTTCCTACATGAAAACTAAATGAAATATTTGGAACTGATATACATTTATAGTAAAAATGCAAATCCTGGTGTCAGAATTTATAATAGCGCAAAATTCAACACAAAACTTAGTTGAAATGTCTAAATCAAAGAGAACTTTTCAACATGTACCCTTCAGTGTTTAGAGGCTGTTACTCCTTTAACCAAACAGAGTGGCGACAGTAGACATTGAGAGGCCAAAGAAGCACATTTTTATCATTTTTTCATTTATTTTTTACCTGCAACCTGTTTCTGGAGAACTATTTGGCGTAGACTTTGGGCTTTCTAAGTTTGCAGACATTTTACATGCACTAAAACCAGCTATATACCGCACTGAAGAAAATGGGGAAACCCAGAAAGCAGAATATGAGCCCCTTAAAGGCAGCTGGCAACCAACTACTCCTCCATTTAGCAGGTGCAGAGCCACATGCACAAACCTGTACAGCTTCTCCATATATAAAATATTGATTCATGCAGTGTAGCGTAGACAGTGACACATTATATTGTAGTATTTGGCTTCGTGCTGACTGTATAAATTATGAAAGCTGTTACTGGAGTCCCCGTGTGGAGGCTGGCTTCTAATCATTAAACCCATCATGCTGCTAAAAGTAAGACGCCTGACAGGACACACTGTTGAGCACTGTGTACACAACCATTCCTGTCTTGTGTATGCGCTGTTGACAGCAGACTGGAGCCTGTTGGGTTGTGTTTATGTACATGTGTGAGGGCACGTATACAGATACTACCGCCTGATAGCAGCTCCTCCCGTTAGCTCAGATGCTGTTTTGTGCTCTGTAAGCAGCAGACGACTGATAGCAGGGCTTCTCCTCTGAGGCTAACATGGTTACACGAAGCCCCGAGAGCTGTTTCAAATAATCCAATGAGCGAGGGAAGATGAATGCGATTGGGTGATTGCTGGCCGGGATCTTAAAGCGCCACGGCCTGCTGCCTGCTGTCGTTAACTCAATCATACCAACATACATTACTATCGTCCACAGTGACAATTGTGGCAGATGGAGATCTGATGGAAGAGATGAGAGGGGGGAGTGGTGCTGTGTTTCTGACAGCTAGAAAAGGATTTCATAGATTTTCTGTTGCGCTGATTGAACAGGAGTTTGCAGTCACATTAGGCTGAAGTGAGTTGGGGACTGCATGTTGTTCTTAGTAACTGGTTTAAATGTCAGAAATGTCTTATCTCATGTCTTAATTCATTACATTTTAAGCCCTATAAATGTGCCACAATGTCTAAAAAGCGGCCTTTTTCTGCGTTTCATTTCTCTTGGAGAGTGTTTCTTGGCCGTCTTCATGTCATATGGTCGGCCTCTTAGTCCATCAGTTTCCTGCTAAGCTCTTCTTCTTCTTTCTTCCTCAGGACCCTAAGATCTTGTCATCTTTTGAGGCAAGTGGAAAAACAGAGGCCGACCTGGAGGGCTGCATCATCTGCATCTGCAGCGGCACAGACCTGGTCAACCTCAGCTTCATGTTCATGGTGGCAGAGAGCCCAGACACAGCCAGGGTACATGCACACATCTACTGTATTTCCAAACCATATTATATATTTTAACAGTGACAAACCTAACTTAGTGGTATATATTTGTGTATGCTGATGTCCAAGTAGTGATCAACATCGAAGTAGTCTCCTTGTGCATCGATCCTCTGCTCCCAGTGCTCCTGCAATGCCTGTCTTGCTCGCTGGAAGTCCTGTTATGTGCATTGAACATGCCTAGCACCGTACGTAATGGGTGCTGAATCTCCTAAGCTGTGTCAAAATGATGTCTCTTCAATTTGAATTTTATTTACAGGAAGAGCAGGAAGTTGTAGGGAGCCGAATCTGTCGAGTGGAGAGCAACAACTGTGACCGAGAGCACAGCACATTAGAGCAACCACATGCCACTGCACCACGGTTCAGGTCATTTGAACCAAATGTTTTCCCTCAGACGCCTCAGGACACATCAGTAGAACTCTGTTTTCAGTCCAACCCTGGGGGACACATTGATGGGCAAAACCACATCAATGTTCCTGGTTGCTATTGGTTTCCAGTAGTATGAAGTCCTGCTGTTCCGTTAATTCTTGGTTCCCCACTGAGGCTTTGCTCCTCCACAACTGGCGTTTGAGTCTCTATTTTTGCTGGCGAGGATGACTCCCAACACCCCGTTGACGGTCACTCTCGGGCTCAGTGTGCTCTGAAATCCAGTAATGTACCTGTCATTTACTTGCAAATAGCTCCTTCTCCAGTCTTACAGAGGCTCTTTTACTGTAAAATCTGCTGTTTCTTTATCGGACGGTAGCTGCAGACCCACCGCAGACGGACACAGAATGTGATGTTAGCTCTACGAAATCACCAATGGCCACAAATGTCTAACAATGATGTTAACTGCGTAACAATTACACGGCATCTAGACTCATGGTAGTTACTGTTCACTCGTGTTTGTGGTGTGCAGCACAAAGACTCCCTGAACTCCCTGAAACTCCCAACTCCACCATCTTGAACTGCAGCTAGCGATGTTAGGTCCTGATTTGCTCTCCACTATAAACTGGAGGGTCAATCCAACCAAAACCTGCAGCAAGACTAGTTCAAGCTCACCGAGGCTGCAGAGCAAAACGAGGTTCCCCACTGATGAGAGCGTCAGCCCAGGCGGATGTTATGGGGTCTTGTTGTGCAGCAGATCTCCTGGAGAGCAAAAGAACAGCTATAATTGCCAGCTGTAGTCCAAGACGGTGCAGCTGAAGTCCATCTGTAGACCCATTATGCAGTTTGTGAATAGAAGACAGCATAGCCAGCGATGAAAACGTACAACCTGAAAGAAGCGTCAAACCTGCGCAGATATGAATCACCACTTGAATTAAGAACTTTCACATTGAAATCTCAGTAAAAACACAGACCGCAGAAACTTGTGAGTTTCCCTTCAGCCGTGAATTGAAGTGACAGACTTTGTATCCAGGCAATGCACAAAAAGACAAACTAAATCTGTCCAGATTGTCCATCCTTATGCCCGCGATAGTCAAAAACACATGTAATCTGGACCAAACTTTCTTTAGCACCCAGTACACTTACACGGAGTGCAAATAAATTCAGCATTTCCACATCTAAATATATACACGTATACACACAGGCATATAAAGGCTAAAAGAACACCCCGGCAAAGCAAATATCTTAATCTGAAAAAAGCATCAACAGAACCGCCAGGAGAACGATTCATATTTCAGCTCCTACACGAGGCCTTGATTCGTTCTGGTAAATAGACACATTTGAAGTGACTCATTTTCGGTGTCTCACCTCATCTCTGGTGCTGTGTTCCTCCTGCACGCCTGCTTTTGCTGTTATTTCTCTTAGATTATCACAAGTGGGAAATAGTGGGAAAAGTGTCCTGAATGTGTTTAAAGACAGCTTAGGAAGGTTTTTCTGGAAAGAAAAACACATTATGTATTTGGGCCTCAATAAAAAAAGTCATGCTATAGCATGTCGTTTTTGTCAAAAAAGGTCACGTTTCAGAATGTCCTGAAAAC